ACTTATATGCTACAGTTTCAAACAAACACTTTGTTGCAGTATATTAAACATAAAAAGCATGCCATGCCAAGAAGCCTATCTGACACTGCACTGAAAAAGATCTGTAGTTCCAGAGATCCTGTAGAAGGAAATAGAGTTTTGTGAACAGTGCTCATGGGAGTATGAAAATATGCACTCTGAGCAGGACAGACCAGCAGGAGCCACGTTGTTTGTGGAATTATTTTGGTTATATTCCCAACTTTTAGGAATTCACATTTATAGTCATTTTGTGTTGTTGTCATGGCCCAACTGCTTCCAGTAGATTTAAATGTAATATCCAATTTCAAAGTAATCTTGACAGTCAGTTACACAATGGAAGTTGAGACACACACATAAATTTAATGCACAGCACTGAGCAACAATTTGTCAAAGGTTGCAGATAATTTCACTTTACAGGAGAATGTTAAACAAGCTGTAGCTCTCAGTGATTCTTCTGGGCTGACCCACCTCGGGCAGGGCAGACTCGCTGGCTGCAGCCAGTGTGAGGGAGCTGATTGGCTTTGATCTGGTTCCCTAAGAAAGCACTTCCTGAGGTCACAGGTCAGCTCTGGAACATGTCCATCTGTCTGTGCCATTTTGGCTTTTCAAATTCCATTAAATTAAGTAATTCTAACAGATTCTATTTCAACATCTAGCATTTCCTAAGTACTGGAGGAGCACCACAAGGTTCAGTGAAAACTAAATGCACAATTGGCCTTTGACGAACTCCTGGCTGTTAACTTTCACAGATTTTAAAAAGTTGTTGCTCAATAAAAGTCAAAATGCAAAACCCTAGTACCTGTTTATGTGTTGTGACCAATTTGCACAGGGTATTCCTGATCGGGTGATAGATAATGTTCCCTGGTAGGTCTCCCCGGTGTCTTCATAACACTCTGAAAGAAAATATTATTTGTTTGGATGACATTTTAAGGTCAGAAAATGTTTTGAAGAATTGACATGTGTTAAAATTTAGGTTTGGAAACATGAATAATGTAATTGTTATATATGTTAACTAAATATTCATCTTTCAATTTCATTTCTATTTTGGTATGTCCTTAAATAGAACCAGAGCTTTCAAAACTGACTTATTGCTGCAGAGAACTATGGGAAATGATGCAAACACTGCCAGAGAGGGGTGATTCTTTTCTTCCATAAAATTGAATTCACAGGGCAATATGCTGCCAAGAGCCTGAATCCTTTGGGTCCAATACTGAAAGTGCCTGTGTAATTCCACTTTGTGAAAACATGACATGTCTTTGAAGCATGTCTCTTACAGTTACAGTCACAATATTATAAATGTAAAAAACAACACTGTACGCTTGTTCTTTGTGGATCCTATGGTGTGGTGAACTTGAGTATGTCAATGAATTACCAGTTTCTTGAGAGGCTTCAGCACCACACCGTGGGATATGAGTGCAGTTGGCTCTCCTCTGATTTGGATCTGTCGTGAAGCACCATGGATGCTCTGAGCCATCAGGGTTACGGCAATAATTTTCCCTTAGGTCTCTAGCACAGAAATGAGAGAAGGCGGTCTAATACCACTTTTCACATTTTAGACGTTTTACAGTCACAAACACACAGAATTACAGGTATTACTCACTTGCACTTGTAGTTCTCAGGCAGAAAGGAGTGTTTGTGGGGGAACTGTGAATCCCAACGCTGACAGGACACACCCTCTGGAGTAACATTTGTAGTGCCTCTGTAATCAGTCCCCTTTCCCTCTAAACAGGATGTTGATGTATTAGCAATACTCTCCTCAGTATAGTCTGAGTCTATGGACAGAAAAAAAAAAAAAACATTATCGTTAATAAACAAAAATACTCCAACAGTAAAAAGTAAGAAGGTGTAGATAGCCCTAGCCATTAGAAAGAATGATGATCAGGAAGAAGGGAGACTGTAATCCTTTCAAGAATGTGTCGTGTTTAGTTTAACCCAGTAAGAGATGATCAAAAACAGTAGCATAACCCTGTCCTTTACACCAAGATAGGATACTCCTTGTATTCATAACAGTATGCCCCGCATTCTTGGACATACTGCAGGTACGCCACAATAGACGTCAGAAGTTAAGTAATTTTCTGACAGCACGCAATGACACAGGTTACCAACAAGATTCTTCTGTCTAAAAATTTTTAGATAAGTCTGTTTGTAAAATACCCCAAATATGACAAAAAAGCTTACTGCTACATTCATAGGAAAACTATTCCAAGCATTTTCAAATGGAATTCTGCTCTTCAGCAAGGCTGGAACATGGATAGACGGAAACTCTGTCTTTCTGTCTCTGTTTCCTTAGCCTTTGACAAATACGATGGAGCAGATGGAGGAGTGAAGGCAATGTTTTGAGGAGGAAAGTGAAGGCCGTGCATGAGGAATCTTTGGTTTGATGTAATGCATGCCAGTGTCTGCGCTGTACCATGCACAGGTCAGTGGTTTTTATCTTTCTAAGAGCAGACATACAGGACTACACACATCTGGACAAATGCAGATCCTCGGTCCACAGTAAATCACTGCATGTGCATGTAAAATGCATGTGTGTCACAGAGGAAGCAAGATAGATGCTCTGGTTGTTTGTTCTGCACATGTGGGACAATGTTAACATACAAAGGAAACATGATTAGACTCTCAAAGGCAATGTTGTCGTTTGCATAATGTATGAAGGTAAATGTTATACAAACTATACTCAAACATGGATTCAGTTTACATCTGTTGAACATATTAAAAGTAGTACATCAATAAAGATAAAAGCATGCATAAAATCAGTTCTGCTGTCCAAAAAAATAGGCAATACTAGATGTTTTATTTTTACAATGTATATACAGACTTTTAAAGCTCAATTGCTATAAACCACTTTGCAAGAAAAAAGGTCAGTCCTTTCTGTGATTACTTAAATATTACCAAAAAACCTGCAAGTGGTCATGCTGATATCCTCTGTTTATAGTCAAAACAAGTCTTCAAAGGAGTGGCATATTCACACAATAGCTCCTAAATCTGTTATGAACTAACCATGTGGTTCTCCAAATCTGTTTTTACAATATAAGAGTCTAAAAGATAATCCATGGCCGGCCACAAAACCACAAGCTCAAGTTGTTGCAATAGTCATAAAATATTAATTAGTCATTTTAATAAGTACTTCTAAGGAGGTGACTTGTGTTATATTATAACATAGCATAGTCTTAAACCATTTCTTACCACACACAGTGATGTTGCAGTACTCCCATGGAGTTTTGGGATCCATGGTGTAACACCAGGGACGCAGGCGATTGTCTGGGTTACGACAGTAGTTATCCTTTAAGTCTTTGTCACGGTACCTGACAACAGAGAGAAAAGAAAAACATGTGAGTGGACACAGGACAGTGCGCGAGGTCTGTCCCTCATGAGAATAAGTATGTCTTATGATGCGTGAGCCAGGTGTGTTCTGGGAAAACACTTCTCTTACTTTTTGGGCTGGAAGTGGTGTTTATGAGGACGCACTGAGTCCCATCTCTGGCACTCCCGGCCCCCCTCTGTGTGATCCACTCTGCCTCTGTAATCCTCCCCATTACACTTCATACATTCCTCTGTGGAGAGATGCACCATCTCTAATCATTAGTAAATAACAGGCCTATGCAGGCAAAAACTAAGAAATCCAAACTTACACTATGACAATGTACTTTTAGATACTTCTATGAGAATACAATGCTACATGCTATGTTTCTCTACATTTAGCTTATGTCCAGCGAAGTGGTTGGGAGGGTCTTACCCTCTGAGCACTGAGGTATGCCACACTCTTCAGCACGTACATTTGGGTCAATGGTGTAGCACCATGGACCACCAGGATCGTTGTTGGGATTTCGACAGAAGTTCTCTCGTAGATCGTGCGCTGGGTACCTATCTGGATAAAACCTGCAATGTGTAGAAATGGATATTATTAAAACTAAATTATCTGGTGTGAACAACTTTGATAATATATTCTACAGATTGCCTCTGTACACAGAATGGTACATTTCACAATCAGTGCTATGTAATTCTATGCTCACTGTGCTTTCCACAACAGACCAAATATACTTTAGAGGTTAAGGCCATGGTACAAGTTTTAGAATAACCACTTAAGAAATTCTATGGAAAACATGAATGGCTTTCATTCACCTTTATTAGTGTTGCCATTGATTTCTACCATAAGACATTCTACTCAAGTGTGAAGCAGCCAGGGCTTGTCACAGCACAGTAACCTCCAGCCACACAGAACAATGCTATGAACCACTTGGAGTAACCCATGCAAGTCTTTTTCTGGCAGCCTTTGAACACATTTAAAACTAATCCCTCTCTGTCATCGACTCCATCATGTCAGCTTGAACAAGTGACTGTAGCACAGACATTTGGAGAAAAGAGCCTGGCTGGCCCAGACATATGGTATGTAACAATGGGAGAGGCAGGGGATGACTGCACTAAATGGACAGTGTGTGAAATTGGTCCTCTGTCAGAGCAGTATGATGAAAAGCTGGTGTGTCAGCACCCCCTAATCCATGCCGACTGTGCTCCCTCCCACCTAGAGACACATAGCCAACACAAAAAATACATTGGAGAGGCAATTTAAGTCTATAAAGTGACTATTTTTAAGAAGACAAGCTGAGCCTAATCCACTAAGAAAAACGACAGTCCCCTGGTGTGAAATCAATGATGTGAAAGAAACAACATGTGTAGTCTTGACGCCGACCCTCCCTTCAGCAGCCTCTACCCCAGGCAATGACTCTTTACTTGGGGGAGTCTGCTCTGCTCCCCTCAAAACCCTGGGGCTTCCACAAGGCTTCCACAGTAATGCTCAGCATTATTCAAGCCATAAGGAGAGGAAATCTACAAGTTAACCTAATGAACAGGGACTGTGAGAAGAATCACCAGTTACAGAATAGATTTACCTACAAATACAAACACATACAATACAAAGTATATTTCTAATGGGAATAAACAGACATATGTAACCTGTGACTCAGCTCATAATCTTGTTAATATGATCATGTTTAAGTGCTGCTCACATTACAGCATGTAGTTTACAGTCTGAAAACAGCTACATTTTGGAAAAAGTTAGCTCCGTATAATGATGTTGTGCTAACAGATGTTGACCAGTTATTCATGCTCTTGCCAAAACCTGCTTCCCCTGGAGAGTGGGAAAATATAATGCACACACCTCATTATGGAACATGTTGATGAGCTCTGACTGTGATGTCACTGAGAAATGCTCTACATCACAAATGTGCAAAAACATGTAGTGGTGACGATGCTCACGTGTACCATAGAATGTAGATGTACTGTATTTTTATTCCACAACTTTGGCCATGCTTATGCGTGTACCCTTTTGGCTGACAACAGTTTTATACACATACACCTTTATATTTACATTTATACACATACATAAATGTATGTGTGTATGTATAAATGTATATTTTCCAATACAATTGTACAGATCTATCATTGCTCCAACACTAAACACTGACATCCAAGTGGAAGTCCCAGTCTTTCAATGGAAACAGCTAAGAAATCACTTTGTGCTCACAGTAAGCAGTTGAGCATGAAAATAATAGCTACCTGAAGCTCCAGTGGTGCATGGTTCTCATTGACACTAACTATTAAACAGCATGATCACCAAATCTCCCTCAAGTAAGGACACCTTGACAAGTAGGGGTGGGTGATATATACAAAAAAACAAAACAAAAAACAAAAAACAACAACAACAAAAAAAAAAAAACAGATTTTTTTAGAGTCAAGATGACAGTTTTTGCTGCTTTTTGTGCTCTGACCGGTAACTACATCCACCTGCCTTTCCTAAAAATTCACACTTCACTGTAATTGGTCAAAACTGGCTATCTCTGTTTGACCATAGTGAGAAGCACAAACAGTGTTTTATCCAAATTAATTAAATTAAAACTCTAAATGACTTTCAAGAATAGTGCACTTTACCATCACAAGCACCTCGTTGTTGTTTTTTTTTTAATCTTTTCTTAATAATGTATTTAAACTGAACTTTGCCAATACTGAATGTTTTTTGTCCTCAAGGTTATGTGGCAAATGCTTTATGTTCTGTGTTTAATAATAATGTTTTATTTATTGTATTCTACACTATTCTACCAAAAAAGCAGCTCGTCACGGGGATCATATCGCCCAGCCGTATTCAGTAAAAACAGCTGATTATTTAAGGCTAAAATACAATGAATATTACATTCACTCTTCCAAATAAAGTCATGTTCCAGGATTCCTGAGGTATTAAGATACAAGACTTTGTCAGAAAATACATAACTCTATGAAATGTATTCTCTGTGTACATTAAGCCAGGCACTTTCTTCTGCCTTTTATTTTCATGTGGTTTGAGTATAACTGATATAACTGAAGTGGTAGGTGCCAGAGTTGTCCCTTTAAATTCACTAATCTTTCTCTTTCTTATAGCCAGTGGGAAAATATTTTGGGATACACCTGAAGTTCTGCCACAAAGAAAAAAAGCTCATTTGGGAGGAGATCCCTGCCTGTGTTGAAAGAAATCGGACTAAACTCTGGATAAGCATTCATCTTCAAGGCCTCCCCTTTTCCTTTAACCCCTGAGATGCAGTAGGATGGATAGCCATCACTAAATCAGTGACTCAGGCCTGTGTTGTATCAGCCACACAGATGGAAAGAGCTGATGGAAGGCCTAGGATTATGAGAACAAGCTTTGAAAGGTGACTGTTTCAAATGTACATGGCATAGACTGAAAAAAGTGCACTGTGGGCATATGAATGAGGTAAAACAAAACAAAACAAAAAAACAGAATATGAAGTAAACGCATGCAAGTGTAAATCACACATTATTACTATGGAGCCTGAGCTGCCTTCTCTTTGACAATGATTTATTTTTTAATAGTTCAGTCATTGTTCATATTTAAACAAAAGTTTGGAGACATAATTTCCTAATACCATCTTCTTGCTATTGCAAAAGAGACTTACGTGTGTTCATTGATGATGTTATCAGACCAAGCTTGGCATGTGATGTTTGACTTGGTCCATGACCTACGACCTCTGTAGTTGTTGCTCCCAGTGATGCACTCTCTTATATAATCTGAAAGGGGGCAAGCAGATTTAGATCATTACAACCATCTACAAGTCTATGATCCTGTCTTTCCGTCCTTTTTGTTCCTGATTGGATATAATTTAAATTCTGCTTACATGCACAACATTGACCACCTGGAATATATTTTGTTTACCATGTTTGGACATGGAGATGCCTTCAAGTGTCCCACTCAGTGTGTTATTATTAACAGAAAACTTCCTCGAGTTCCAACGGAGAGTTTTTGTAAATACTTTAGTGTGAGAGTTGACACGAGAGGAAAACCTCTAACTGTTGCCATTCAATGCAATGAAGGTACATGTAGTGGTGTACTCTAATCATAAAGATTCCATCAATGAAATTTACCTTTTTTCTCATAGAGCGTGAAGTTGGAGTTGCTCTGCTTCTGCACATCAGTGCCGAAGCGGTCAAATGGAAGCAAGTGGCACTTCTGACTGTGTCTTTGAAAATTGAAAGCCCTGTAAAGAGTAAATCAGAGAGTAAAATAATACAAATAAATAATTTAAGTTAATCATAGGCCAGACAAAGCATAGCCATAGAAAGTGCAAATGTCCAAAACAAGCATAATTCACCTGCAGTTTTTCTTTGCCTTTTTGCACTTGCGCGCACAGTGCTCAGGTGATCGACTATTTCGTACTAAAGGGGTCTGTGGGCAGTCTGTGCAAGCCAATATGTGATTCTCTGTCTTCTCATACTTCTGTAAACATTGGTGGTTTCTTCTGCAGTTACCTAAAACACACAAGAACACTAGATTGCTGGTCTTGAATTATACTGAAATTTAATCAATAGCAGTTGCAAAATCACTATTTTTACAACCCTATTTAACTATTTAACAGCAAGTAGAGTTCAGCACAGGTGAGAAATGGTAGAAAGTAGTAAGCTTGGATACGATCTGTCTCACTGTGTGGCCTCGTGTTACAGAGTTAGTTCAGAGTTTCCTCCAGATGCAGAGATGGCATGCTACTATCTGTTCTGATGCATGACTGCTATGCAGGCCCAAAGAAGCCCTAAACTTTTTATATATCTTAGGTTTATCTTTGCAGCCTATATTGAAGTAACACACTATTTCATAGAGCAGAAGTGTGTCCATGTGGAAACACCTCCTGCTGTAGTACTTCAGATGATTGTGGCTGCCTGTGAAGTTTAAAAACACCCTAAACTGAGAACACAGCCAAAAACAGAGTCATGTCAATCCAAACACATACAGTCTCACTTGTTGATGGTCATGGAACATATCTTACATTTTACTGCCATGGACCATTGTCCAAAATAATCCAGTAGTATGTTTTACTGCTCTGCAGTATATTTACGTTTTTTTTTTTGTGCTATTATTACAGATATATTTTGTGGATATCTGAGATTCTAGAAGGAGGCTATTTCTAACTTTATGAGCCTTAACAATGAACTCTAAGGCCAACCATTAAAGTCTTATTAACTCCCCTGTTGTTTAACTACAGTAACTTCATAATGATTTGATACAAAAAAGGAGTAATTGTGAATTGCTGGAAAGTTTCAGTGTCACCCTATCTTCTGTCTTTCCTTTATTGGAATCCAACACTTTAGAGTGAAATGGCCCATGTACATAAATATAGAGCTGTCAACAGTGGAAAAGAAACTGAGTATTATAAATCATTCTTTTATTTATAGACCTTTTAAAACCATTTCTCTGGAAGACAAACTTCAAACAAAAACACAAAGAGTCCACTGCATACATAGTATAGCAGATCCAATGGGTTCAAAAGCAGGACACAACTATATTTTACCTATGAATCCTTTGTAATACAAATCTATCATGTGTTACCTTAGTGGTCAAAGTTAGACGCACATCCTTCACAGAGCATGTCTCCACTCTGCTGTCTCCTGAGGCCACAAGCTTCAGATGCACCACGTTTATTTGCAGTCATTTCCTCTTTCTTATAATAAGGGTAAAGTGTGGGATCAATTTCAGATGAATCTCTTATGCTACTAAGTTACAGAAATTTAGTCTCGTGCCAAGATCCAACCCTAGGCGTTGCATGTACTTAGGATATTGTAAACTGTGGCTCCTCATGGTTGAAAATGGTTTTTGGGGCGGACGTGTTATTAATGTTTAGGCTCCACTAGACCACATCTGGCACTCATCACACTGTTGTTCCAGCCCTGATGTCTGGCGAGGCTGCTCAATTAGATTTCACTTAGGCTCTTCCTCTTCTCGCAGTCGGACCTCTGCTATCTTCACATCCCAAACATTTACTCAGGAAGACGATTAGAATTAAAGCTGCTCGATCAGTGCTACGGAGGAGTGATGAGATTTAATAAAAAGTGGCAGAAATTGCTCTGAGTTACAGGTGTGTGTCTCCAGTCTGGCTGATTAAAATTTTGATATGAAGATGGAGTGACTTTGCTTTCACTTCTATTTGAAAGAATCACTGAGGCCACCTTTAGTCTACACTTAATCAAAGCACACTTCGCCCTAACATTGTCAGGCTAGATTGCTTCATGGCACAGCTGCTCAATGGAAGCACAAGAGAGAAGCAGGTTCTGTCTGGGTATTAAGCAGACATTACATCTGCTTCAGAGAGATGGGGAAATGGATGGACTTTTTGTCCAGATGTTCACCCTCCACCCCTCTTCCTCACAAACGTCTCTGGTGGGACAGGCACAGAAGACAGGCACAGAATATCTAAGACAGAATCGTGTTCTCAACTTTTGTTTCCCCATTTCCAATGAGGTCAGAGGTCAGGGTCAGAGCTAGGTGCAAACTGGTGGAGACCCACTGATTTATTCAATGCCATGTAATGTTTCATTGAGGTGACAGCTATAATGAGCACATAATGTCCGGACATCAAAAGCACATACAATGCAGGTGTTTGAATGAATGACCCGATAGCTCACGCATCCTTGCGTGTTGCAAATAGATTTAGTCTTAATCTGGGAACCCACATTACAGTATTAGAGTATTGCACCAGTGTTTGTTTTACAAATTATTCTGACCTCTATAAAAGTTTAATGGCGGCTTATATGCCCAAGCAGTTGCAAACCGAGCGGTTTGGCGCGCATGCACCTACGCCTTCAGGCACGGGACTGTTAAGTGCGTCTCAACGCAATCTGAGACATCTGACACAAGTGGTGGCGGGCACAATTTCAACAAGTGAGAGCAAACACAGGCAGACATAGGCAAGCAACTGAGTCAAGAAGTTAGTAGCTAATAAAGTTGTGATAAAATAGTAGTACATCACTTTGGATAACATACCTTAACAACGTATCTATCTTTTATCTCTAATCTCTAATTTTTTTCTCTTTTAATGTTTAAAAGTTATTCATTCAATATTTTGTGGCTATAGGTTAAGTTTAGTTTTTTAAACCATGCTAAAATAAAATCTGTCACGACAATGATAAATGCCGACAATTAATTATTAGTTTTACCTGAGTGCAGAGCCGTTAGGAGCGCGCAGAACAAGGCTTGGTAAATGGATGCGTAAATCCTCATGGTTAGATACCCAAAGATGGACTGAAGCGTGTGTGAAGTGCGACTGACTGAACAGGACGAGTCTCGTCTTCCTCAAATTGATGAGAGACTTCCAGCGATCCACACGTCCTCGGTTCAACCCCCTTTTACTCCACTTTGTACTGTGCTCTCAGCGCACCTCATTACTAACATCAAGTGGTTGAAGTTAGGCCTACTCAACATCCGGTTGCAAATTTCAAATTAAAACGCATTTTGAGAAATCATGATTTGATTTTTCAAGTGTTTACCTTACTTTAAAATAATGTTGCTATTGTATTGCTTAGTCATCGGCCAACACCCCACCCGTCCCTCCATCTAACAATACTTTATTCACAAAAACCTGCACTTGTTCTCAGGCCTATCAGCTTTTGCTAAGACAATCATTTCTTTAGTTTGTGTTTTTGGCTCAGAAACAGTTAGACAGGCAGATTGGATTCTTGAGGCATTTGCCAAGGAGCTCTTGGCCTTAAGTATAGTGACTGAATCCTGAGAGGGCTGCGCAGTTGCAACATACTTCACAGACAGAAGAAGCACAGGTGGAGCAAAATGAGGAGGCAGGTAAACCCAGAACAGGAATCTACCATAACCACATAATAATGGACACACTGGTGCACCTTCAGCAAGTGGTGATTTTCAAAATAGGTCACTTGTCAAAATGTGGATTTGCTATTAGGTGATGAATGTCAAATAATTATGCTTCTTTGGGAAATTACATTGACTTACAGTGATTTTAGGCTTTTCTGATGCAGGATTTAGAATGGCCGCAGAGTCGCAAAGTTCTCATGAAAATCCACACATGAGGAAGAGTTATGTCTAACCGGAACCAAAGAAATATTTGTCTTGTTGATCAAACGAAGAAATCCTATGGGACATGGAGGTATGAAGACAAATATACTGCCAAGACTCACTAGTATATTATTGTAAGTTTGCTGCGCTAAAACTCTATTAAAATGGCTTTGTATTTACCAGGGGTTGAAGAGAGGGAAATTGCTTGGGTAGCTCTTATCTTTGTCACTTGAACATTACTTTGATTATAGTACTATAAAGATTGAATATAGGGTCACTAGTCATTTCAAATTAAAACCTTTAAGAGGTATAGCCCACATTCCCTGGAGGCATATTAGAAGATATTAAAAGTTGTGCGTCTGCATATTCTTATGGGGAGCAGCTGGAAGTGATCCTATTTAGGAACAATGTACTAGACTTTTGTTGGGCCCTAACCCTCTTTTGACAGGAAATCCACACTTCAGCTGTTAACAGGCGGCTTGCTTAAAAGCCTCTAGAGAGAATGGAAGAATAAAGCAATCTGCAGTGAATGCCAGGCACTGGGCCCTTCCTCATTAAGGCGCGTGCAGGTCATTTGATTTTCTGTGGTCCTTCCAGTTCCCTTTGGTGTGTGCACATATGAACAGGTGTCCAGCGCCCTGCGTGCTCTGAGGCAGTCGTCCAGAAGGTGCAGCAAACAGCACACCCCACACGTCTCACCCACAACGTCAATCAGTGTCAGGGCAGAAGAGGAAACCCAGACTCTATATGAAAATGAGGTTGGTACCTTTTGAACTGCAGCAGCACCAGTCCCAACATACCTCAACAAGTGAGGGCTAAATAAGTTAGTTTTGACAGATGATTATGCTTAGAGGGGAGAAGATGTTGGAGGTAGGTGGTTTCTTTCATAACAGACCAAAGCAATGGGAGTATTAACTTGCATGATTTTTTTTTCACTCACTATCGCTGGCCTAACACAGGGAGATCCAAGATGTCAGTCAAGTCTGCTGGTAATAAGGGTATGGAAAGTTGTAAAGTGATGTGTAAAATAGACACTTTAACTCTTTCATTTTACCAGTTTTCCTCAGGATAGTCAAATAACATATAGATTTGTGAGGGTATAGTATTTAATTATAACATGTATAGATTATCATTTTTGCATCATGTTAATTGTAAATTACAGCATTGGTTAATAATTGAAATTTGTCTATTGACGGTCTGTTCAAAACTGCTGAATTGACTGGCTGCACCTCTAGTGCCATTCAAAAATGGCAATGTGACATTTTTGAACCCTACAGAGCCGAAATTATAGCTGAAATAATCACAAGTGCAGTAGTGGGTGCTGTCAGCAGCAGGTAAAGGCCGCTTTAACGCTTTCATTTGACCAATTTTTAGGGATAGTCAAATGGCCTATAGATTTGTGAGAGAGTAGTCTAAGTTTACACACAATAGAGGTCCTCACCTTGACTTTGATTTGACTTTTCAACAGTAGCATTTCAGCATATGTAAAATGCTTATTTTGACTTAAGACTTCATGCTTATTTATCTTTTTCTTTTAATGCACCTACCTCTGCATGTCTGTGTAAAGTAGTGTGGAAAGGGAAGTCATGAGCCTTGAACTGTAGGAGATGTGCCACATTCATCATTACAGAAGGAGAAGCAGATCTCAAGGCCAGGTCCTGTCAGCACTCAGTATCACACACCTGGCTTTCTCTCAGTAGCACCATTCCAGTACCAACAATAGCAAACCTCCAAAGCTAGTTCACTCTTGATTTTGTGGTTTGTATCACATTAGTTCTCTCAAAAACTGTCAAAAACTGCTTAGAACTGAGTAAGTGGTCTCAAGAGCCAGTTCCATAATAGTGTAAACTTAACAGTTGACTTGTAATAATTCATAAGTACCTGCAAGTTTAGTGGTGAAAGTAAACATGACTGCAACACTGTCAGAACTACAATATACTTACATTATACCAATGTTACATGATTGGAGATGGGTGCTAATATTGGTATGGTTTTGATATGGTTTCATATGCTGTTATAGGTTAAAAAAAGAAAAAAAAAGATATATCAGGCTAGTATTTATTTCAAATGGAAATAGAAGAGCCATAAAGCTAATATCAAGGAGGCTGTATGTTTACATAGGCATTATAAAAAGCTAATTATATTGTATCACAGAAATACATTTTGTATTTAGATCAATGTTTATCAGACCATTCTTAATGATTGTAATTACACACCTAATTTTGCAATGTAGAGTGATAAGCCAAAAACATCTTTAGGTTCTTCAAGTGTTTAAATGTTGTTTCCGTGTCAGTGGGGACCTTAAACTACTTTTATATACCAGTCATAAAGAAAATACATTTACCAAATCATTACTACAAGTATGATTACTTATCACTGTCTCAATCTTTCATCAACAGGCAACAGTGTCAGTTTTTCTTTTATATAAAGCTGCTAAAGTAGTACTTTATCCACATTAAAAACTGCTAACATAATACTTACCTCTCCATTGCTTGGCCTGAAGGAGTTTAGGAGATTATAATCATCAGTGCGATCTAGCCTTTTTCCCCTTTGACCTCAGCGACACTACAATAACAAGCTCCCTAACAGCACCCAGCCCCTTGATGCTTTCCCCCCAATTAGGAAGGTGCTTTTCCCCCCACACATGACAGATGAGGGGTCACGGGGTGCTCGGACCGCCTTGCTCGCTTCGCCTCGTGCCCACCGAGAGATCAAGAGACAGGACATCCTCGCTTTGGGAAAGGTTGAGTGTTGGAAGTTGTACTGACATAGATGAATGACCAGTCACAGTCAGAGGGGAGAGAAAGTCAGAGCGAGGAATAAGGAGCAGGAAAAAACTATGAAAAGACAAAAAAATTATTTGCCTGTTTTAATTCTAAGTTTCAAGTATTGTTAAGGCAACAAGCAAATGCAAAATGTATGTAAATATATACTGTGATTTTCTCTATTGAATGTTGTGATTATGTAACCTAGATCAAACCCAGCATTCCTGCAATGAAAGTCCTGGGTTCAGTTCCCAATCCTAGTGTGGCCTTTCTTGTGGTGATTGCATGTTCTCTGTATGCCTGGATGGGCTTTCATTTTAACCTAAAAACTATAAGAGGCAAATCTGGCAGGTAGTTCCTGGCATTAATGTTCAGTTGTTCCACTGTTCCTGACTCGTTACCTCAGCGTATTTTTACCAGTCTAATTTACCTAAGACACTCTTCACAAAATCACTGTCTATATGTGTAATCAAGGGCTATAGATAAGATTATGACCTCTAACAGAAACATGTTTAAGGAGAACCAATTAATCAAAAATAACATATATACAATGATCCCTTGATTAATAGTGCTTGCTTTTCTATCTTTTTTGCAATATTGTGCAAGAAATGTGAATTCAAATAATACACACAAATACTATATCAATTTGTGAAGTAAAACAAGGCCTGGAGATAGTAAGGTGACTGAGGGATTGAATGGCAGGTGGAAAAACATATGAAATCTAAACCTGCAGAGTGAAGTGACCAAAAGAGATAAAGCAGGGCTCACTAAGCTCGGAGGCCGCATTGAAGTCTACTCCTCAGCTGCAATAAAAGGCGCACAGCGGTCCAATGAATCAAGGCGTCGGGGGCTTTCCTCTCTCTGTTGTATGTTATGTCCACTGCTAATGGCCAGCAGATGTGGACCTATTTCACAAGTGTGGCTTTGGAAAACATTCTTGCACATAAATCCAATTACAGGTTTAGATAGTGGGCTGGTTAGCACACTCGAAAGCCCTAATGTCCATCAACACAGCTGACTATGATAATGAAATTTTGCAGCAGGTTTAAAGACAGTGTGCACGAAGTAATAGTTAAAGACAAGATAAGCTTAAGTAAACCTATGTTCACATGTGGGGTTAATGTTGTTTGGGTTTGGATTTCTTAAACGTTGTGGTAGGTCTGAAGTTAGATTTATTGTTAAAGAAGACATACTATGCTTTTTTTTCAGGTATAGTATTTAACTGTAACATGTATAGATCATCATTTTGCATTGTGTTAATTAATAACCACAGCATTGGTTAATAATTGAAATTTGTCATTGACCCAGAGCTGGAATGATAAGATGGAATAGTAAGTAACAAGTAAGTGCTGCAGTGGGTGGGGATAAGGGGTAGGTGAAAACACATTTTCTGAGCACTCAAGTATCAAATGCAGGACAATGCATGATTGCTCAAATATGCATGTCAATTGAAATTTTGAGTAAGCT